TGGTTACATTAAGGCTATTTCAAAAAAAGTTGGTGAAGATTTTGATGCATGTTTCACACCAAGTTCCAAATGCACTATGGGTAATGTAAATCCAATCAGCGAGAATTGACAACAATATGGGATTTTCGCACACTTTGTCTGCTTGTTGCATATGAGTTATAATACATTTCAAACCTTGGAAGCAACATGAAGCATACAATATGTAACATGTTACAAAACCTTCACCAGGTGAACCTTTTTTGAAATTATGTATAGCTGTATACAGGGATTAGGATATTATTAGGGATTAAGGATTAGGGATTATTAATAGTAGGAATATTTGAATGTCATGGTTTTTAGTTCTACCACATCAGAAGACAGAGTGCAGCCTGTAGCAAAGATGAAATCAAGGCAACGACCAAGGTGGGTCATACACTAGATAATTGTCATACTAGTCGATGTTCAAACAATAATTGTGTCATGATTATCATCTCATGGCAATATCATGTAATCAAACATATCATTATTGTCTGGTGTCCATAATTGTTATAATCTGAATACTTTATACCTTAAAGTACTAATAGAGAAAACAATTTGTACTTTATAATGCATTATGAGCTGCAGACCTGTATGGGCTCGCCATTATACATACCCATACAGTTCACACATTTATATTACATTTATCATCTAGCAGTAACCACGGTTTGGGGCTCTGATCTGCCAACTTGACAGAGTTGCGAGGGTTTCTATATATATGTATATTTCTATATTTTATGTTTGGAAATTCATTGTAAAGCATTATAGAGTGTAATATATGACGCTATAGAAATGCATTAAATTATCATTATTATTATTATATTGTATATTTAATTAATTATTTATAATTTGATAATTACTCTTCTTGGAGTGCAACCACATGACTCGAAATTCCTTGAGAAATAATAACAGTGAAACAGCCGGCATGTAGGTTGATCTAAGAACAAGCTAATGAAGAATGCTTTGTTATTGTCAACTAACATAGAGGCTGTGACATAACATGCACTGCAAGAATTAACCATGTTTTTTCTCAAACTTTTTCTGGGTTAATGAACAAGCAGAAGGCCATTTTCAGCAAGTAAAAATTTACCTTCACTAACAGAAGAACAACTGCTTCAAGCTTCACCACCAATGACTACACTAAATAAGGTAATGTCATGCCATCAATATCAGTCCTGCCTCAGAATATAATCTAACATGCTGAATCCCAATTCAGTCTGTGAGTTAGCCATGCCCTCATGATACTCAGGTTGGGTTTTGATCTGAGTTAGCTGTGCCCTGACTTATTAAAAAATTTTAAAAAGAGTCAGGCATAATAGTATTTACTAATTGAATAAGAAGATAAAAGTATGGAACTGGAATAGGAACTCAGGAATGGGAACTTGGACTGGACACTGGTAAACTGGATTGTGGAAAAAATCAATTATTCGATTTAATTTCTTTGCTAAAATATGTTTAATTAGCTAGTTAACATATACCCATAGAATTAGAGCCCAAAAAAGCAGTTTTTCAAGTGTTTCGATCCGGAGATCCACCTTACCAAAGTCCAGTCCAAGGGCCATTCCAGGTCACGATTCTGGATTTTCCAACTCAAAAAATCTTTAAAATGACAGTTTTAGTAAAGATAAAGATAAATGAACAATTTTACTTTAGTTTTTTTGAGGTGAAAATTACAATTTGACAGCATTTAAGGGTAATTTTTATAAATAATTGAACTTCCATATATTGCCTTACATTGACACAAATCAACCTTTCTTACCTCCTCCAAGAGGTTTTATTCCCTCATAGTTAGCATGGGAAAGCTTGTCCATCACTGCTCTGCAGAGAAACACAAAGCAATCACATTTCTTATGGCATTACACTAGTACTATTTGGTAGGCAATAGGCTTTATTGCCGTTTTGTTTTTTATAACAGGTTGTGAGAGTCTGCGTTAGTTCTCTGCCTGCATGTAATATGCATGGGGTTAAGCGCTGTCCAGATCTTCAGTCCCTCACCATTCATAACTGTGGGTTGATGGCTGTGGAGAGTATAGAGGAATGTACCAGTATCAGAGAATTAAGAGTACAGGTATAAGACTCTAAGGGATTACTACTACTTTAAAAAAAAACATGAAAACTCACTAGCTGTTAGTTGCACGCTGAAATTTGTTTTTTTCGCTGCTATCTATCAAAACTATTCAGTCAGTACCTTTCATGCTTTTGACTGTCGGCAGCGAGAAACCAAATTTCAACGTGCAGTTCGCATCTACAGAGTTAACACGTTTATGTAAAAAGCAGTGAAGATAGTAGATCAAAGATACATTGAATAATATTATTCATTGTGGAAATCGTAATAAATGATATTATTTATTTGTTTCACGATTGAGGGTCATTCGTAGAAGGACCACAATGTTTCGACTGCAAACTACTAGCTAGTCTTCATCAGGGGATGGTGATCGTAGTATTATAAGATACTAGACAGTGTTGTAATTTATGATTATCTAACATCATTATTACAATATTCCACCAGCATCACTATTCCGCTAGCCTTATTTAGTTCTCTTATCTTTCTCGTTCCTTCATTACAGGATAACTGTATAGAGTATGTCAGCTGTAGAGGTATACATAACTTAGAAGAGATACAACTAAATAACAACAACTTGACATCAGTACAAGGATTTGATGGCTGCAGGGGACTGCGATGTCTATACCTTTCAAATAACAAGATAACTAGACTTGGTGAGAAACCGCTCTTACCACTTTAGCCTTTTATCTTTTTTCTCTCCACAAAACCTAGCAATTGCTAAATCTCAGCACTTTCATCATCATGCATGCACTTTACACCATGTCAATATCTATCATTGCTGGTAGTGAGGCTAGAGGGTTGGTTACAACTTGGTCTTTAAACAGCCTCTATTTTTCTAAGGTTCACTTTCTTGTCTGTACAAAATCAGGGGACTAAAATCCAAGATAACACTCTACTGTTTCCCTAAAAATGTCCCTCAAACAGACATTCTTGCCCTTGTTGATGATTGGTTAGTTAAAACAGACCATCCAATCACGATATGGCTTGGATACTGAAACAAGTGCTTGAAGACTCTTGTTCAACCAGGGTATTTTTTGCTTAAAGAAAAACTGACAAAACATTAGCATTGTGAAGGTGTGGTCAATGAGAATTCATCACATTGGACCGGATGACCTTCACCATGACAATCAAACTGTATAAATAAAGGAAATTGGCTTTCCTCTGTCAGAGGAAATGAGAGATTGAACAAATAACGCAAGATTGTACAAGTCTCATACAAAAACTTTACAGACCTCATATTTATGTACCTCTTTTAGCATCTCATACAAATTACACTCTCTGTGAATCTGTATAGATTCAAATTTTAAATAACCAATACCCTGAAAAAACCTCTGGGCTGATCAAACTCAGAGCACAACTAAAAGATCAAATTGGAATTTACATTGTTGGTTTTTGTGGAGGGAGGAAATCTGGAGAACCTGGAGAAATTCCCCTTGTAACAAACTGTAGTTCCATTATATTCTGATGACTTGGCACCTCGTGTTCTAGCCTTCACCAGATGAGAAATAATCACTAGAGAAATGAAGTAAAAGAAGTTAGAATAATAGCAATGAAATCAAGTCATGTGCGGTTTTCAAGATTTAACTGAGTGCTTATATGAAATATGGATTGAGGACGAGAATTTCAAGTGTGAGAATGGATGATTTTCATCTAGAGAATGACAATTATTGATCAAATGGTTTATTTTCTAGGGGATTTGTCATCTTGTTGCAAACTTCAGACCCTTTGTCTCGACAGTAATCAGCTTATCATGACTAAGGTAAGTTGATTCAGACTATCTTATATAAATGACCAGGAGTTTAAGATTTAAACAAAAAGAATAATAGGATTTACCATGGATTTTATCATCAATGGATTTACCACTCTATAGAGGATGGAAAGCCTAACAGGTTTTGCAATCACTTGATAAGGCTACTTGTAGATTGAATTGGAATTTAGAAGTTGACTTTTGAGGAGGGAGAAAAAACAGAGAACCAACAAAGCAACTCTAAGTTCAAATGCGTCTGGGAATCAAACTTGGTTTGCCATGACGAGAGTCTCTCTCTCTCCCTGCTTTACCACCCATGTTTAGAATACTAGAATACTAGGCACTAGAATACTGTTCTTTATTATGTAATATTATATGCCTGGCTTTTATACTGTATGCAAGTTAATCTTTAAAAAAAGCATGAAAAAAGTGGATGAAACAACACTGTGATTTCTTTCATGTTATGGCTCTGTTGTGATCTAAACATTCCTATAATCTTGTCTGATTTTTATCAAATTCTTATAATATGGTTCATTTTGATTCATATTTTTTATTAACTGTGATGCCTTAGCTTAGAATGTCCAAAGCAGATCAATAATGGAGGAATGAGAGTTTATGTTGAGATTGATTCACATTTAAATGCAAAAATATTCAATAAAAATAGCTGCTATCTTTCATTTGTTTAATTTCCCTTTATTTCTCTTCCATTCTCTTCCATTTCCCTTGCTTTCAATCCCCTTCAATTCTAACTATTACTTTCTTTATTTCTTACCATTTACATTTTCATTTTTTCCCATCTAGGGATTATTAAGCCTTCCAAACTTACAGTCTCTAAGCTGTGCAAACAACCACCTGCCAAATGTCAAAGAGATTGACAGCTGTCAGTTACTACAGTCTTTAAATCTACAAGGGAACAATCTCCAACAGGTACCAATAATTCTACAATACCAAACTAAGATACAGAGGGAGGGGTGGTTAGGTACTAAGAAATGGCACATTAGTTTTGCCTTGGTTACTAGTAACAAATCCCACAGTACCAAACTAAGATACTGAGGGAGGGGTGGCTAGGGCCAATAATGGCATGTTAGTGTTAGCTTAAAGATGAAAGAAATAAGTGTTTAAAAAATTATATCAATGTATTTTCTGTAGCCCCCTGTGCTGTCAAACCATGTACTCCTGAGAGAACTAAGATTAGATGACAACAGTATCTCTACACTAGAACCCTTGTCAAAAGTGTGGCTGCCATCACTACGTCTGTTATCAGCAAGTCAAAACAGGTATTACTCATCACCCACTCTCTTGTTGGGGTGTCAACCTCTCAATGTTGAGGATTCGATTTATTTGCTTGATTTATTTTTTGTTGTAGTATCTCAAAACTGGATTCCCTGGAGGGGTTGATTATGTTAGAGACACTGGATGTCAGTCATAATCTTATCTCAGGTAATGATACAATAATTGTAATCATCATCAATAGTATCATCATCATCATCACAACCATCAGCAGCAGCAGAAGCATTAATACCATCATCAGTATTATCGGATGAGTCATCTCCACAACCATCATCATCATCATTATAATTTATCATCTATTGTAATCATTGTATTATTGATGATCAATTTCCCCTTTTCTTTAGACCTAGACTGGCTCATACCAGGATTGTCTCAGTGTAGAGAACTAAAGGTCTTGAGGATAGCAGGAAACCCTGTAAATGAAGACCCAGATTGCAGGTACAATATATATGTGATATATATGTATCAATCATTGGAATCATACATATTACTATTTCCTCCTCATCGTCATCGTCACATCATGTGTCTATGTATCGTCACCATCATCATCATCATCATGATCTTCACCATAATCATCATCATCATATGTATCATGTATCACCATCATGTATAATCATCACCATCATTATCATCTTGACATTGTCATCCTCTACTCCATCATCAAAATAATCTTCACTAACGTCATCATGTGTCATCATTATCAACACTAGTCATCATCATCATCATTTGGATCATTTTAGAGAGACTAACACATTTTGATATTAATCATTTTCTCTGCCAGGAAAGCAATCGTAGAATCTTTGGCATTTTTAACGAAACTAGACGATGAGTCACTACAACCAAAGGTTTGTTTCCACTCTGTTTTCTCTCCTCTGTCGTCCTTTTGATCTAAGTTGGGTTTATTTCTTAAGCCCCGTTTACACTGGCGATTTTCGGAAATATGAAATCTTTTGTCTCATCCTTCAAAAGAGACATTCGTCTGGGAAAATCTTGGTATCCTGAAAAAAACTTTACAAGTAAATTCTTTACCATTATTTATTATGGACAAAATCGCCGCAAAAATCGCCGTAAAAATCGCTAGTGTAAACGGGGCTTTAATGTTTTTATATACTTGTATTTTACAACCATCACTTCCCGTAAGGAGCTCTACCACTACATTCACTATTCGTACTTGCTATGTAATAATTATTTAGTCTTCTAATAATTAATTATTTAGTCTTCTAATAATTAATGTAATTCACTGATGTATTTGCATTGTTTTCTCATGTACAGAAATCTTCCAGTGAAGGTCATTCCTCTTCATTCATTACCATGTGTCTTAACCAGCTAACAGAGTACGATAACATGATGGCTCGACATGACACGGAACTGAGGTGAATTTATGACTCAAAATCTCAAGTCTGTGCGTTTTTTTATCGTGTCTGCTTTGATCAAATCTTCTTGGCTAAATATTTTCCCATTTTTGACGAAGTGTCATTTTCTTGGAAATAGGAATCCATGCTTAGGGATTACGACATGATTTTTCAATCCAGCCAGTTCCTACAAAGATCCAATTGGCTTTTCAAATTTGGGTCCCATGCATCGCGTTGTGGATGCCAATCAATATTTTGGAAAATTTGGTCAACGCTAGTGAAATTAATCCTTGGACACATCAAGATTGTGAAAACGAATTTTTCTGCCCCAAAATGCGAAAAATATACGATTTCCTCGATAACTCGTTCCTCAAAAATATTTTGGTTACATGCACAGGAATGTATCTAAGTAAGTTTTACCAGTATATAAAGAAATAATATTCAATGGAATGACACGGGGTCTGAAATGGAAAAGCAGTTTATGTTTATATCGTGTTTTCTCGTACCCTGGTTATTTTTTCCTACTCCTTTTAACCTTTCAAAGGTTCTCTTGCAGCATGTTGGAATGCAACTCAATAGCCCACTTCCGAGATATGCTTCGTTTGTCACGCACAAAGGTTTCAGTATGAGGCTACGTGCTAAATGCTCAGTCATTCGTGACAGGCGGTAGGAATTAATTTAATTTAGCACGTAGCCTCATACTGAAACCTTTGTACGTGACAAGCGAAGCATATCTCGGAAGTGGGCTATTGGGAGGACATAACAATATGTTTCCAATTCTCAGGAGATTGAATTTTGCTTGTTTTGTCCTCCAAATTGAGCTGCTTTGACGTGACATGGAAGGGTCTATTCCGTGCAGTCTTGTTAAGAAAAGCCTTACTACAGTCAACTCTCGTTACAGCGGACACCTTCGGGACCGTCACTTCATGTCCGTAATAGCGAGCGTCCGTAATAGCGAGTTTTTCTACGGTCATTTCTTTGTCAGTATTTTTGTCGGGGATTTTCTCCTGTCCGTAATAGCAAGGTGTCCGTAATATCGGGGTGTCCGCCAGGCGAGAGTTCACTGTATAAATCAAATGGACATGTTTCAGTTGCCTTGCTTTCTTTGTACTGTAACGTAGCTCATTCAGTGAAAGCGAAGTAGACCCCAAGAAGGTTCAAGAACGATTAAACATTAAGGTATGTCTTCAAGGGAGAACCTACACAGCACTTGTCACTAAATTGTCGTTCCTAGGCAGCCTTTCAACCCTGGAAAGCAAAACTTCACTTTTTGGATCGAGATTGCTTAACTGATAATGCTGATCGAATGCAAGCAACAAGAAATGAAGTAGTTTTTATTTCATTAAACATTTTTAAAGGGATTTTTAAAATGAAAAAAAAATCTTATCAAAGGACTCGAACTCGCGTCCATCAACAGAAATCTGGAAAAAAAAACCTGAAATAATTGTGAATGTGAGCAAAACGTAATTGGGTAGACCCATTGATAATAATATATGCATTTTAAAAAATAGAAAATCTTATCTGGATACGTTGGGGTTCGAACCCATGGACAGAAATTAAAAGAAAAAAAGGAAAAAGAAAAAAGAAAAAAATCGATTCAACTTTGCCATACCCCCGAGACATCCGCAGAGCTGAGGCGGCGTATGGACTTCGAACCTGACGGCGATTAAATCCTTCTGCCCTTGGGTGTACGAATTACGCAAGAAAATGTTCTAGCCGAAGCATCAGGGGAGAGACCAGCCGGCCCCCAGACCACATCGGCTAATCCCTTGCATCTCTGCCACGCACGGAATCGGTTGAAAATATGTTAAAAATGCATTGTTTTCATGGCTATTGTTATGCTGATTCACCTGGAACCGTGGCTCAGTGGAAAAAACTTGGGCGCTGAGTCAAGTCCAGTTAAGAGGGGTTAGAATCTTAGACAAGTCTTTTTTTTCTTTTCTTTTTCCTTTTTTTTTTTTTTTTTTTTTTTTCTTTCTTTTTTTCCTTCTTCTTCTTTCTTTTATCAAC